GGGGCTGGCCGGGCGCCCACCGGACTCGGCCCCCGCGCGACCTCCCGGGAAGGAGCACCTTGCGGCCTCCCGGGGGCCGTGGGAGGACGCGCGCGAGACGTGGCCTCGGCTGCTGGCGAGTCGACTTTCCTTTCCACCCCGACACTTTGACCTTGGGCAAGGCGTTTTGTGCTGCTCGGCGCCCTTCTGCCATTTGTAGCCCCCCCGCGACCCCTGACCTAAACGTGAGAAGACTAAGGTGATGTGGAAGGCCTGAAACTGCTGGGGCGTGTGCGGCCGTCTGAGCAAGCTGCATGGGGATGGGGGAGGCTAGGGTAGGTGCTGCGCTCCTCACCCGACCTGACTGGGCTCTAGTCATTTATCTGTTTGCTTTGGTAGAGGCCGGTGGGGCTTGCGCTTTTGCCCAGGCTGGTCTCGAACTTCCAGCCTTAAACGAGCTTCCCGCCTTCGCCTCCCAGAGTGGTGGGATTACTGGCGTGAGCCACCAACCTCTTGGTGTTTTCACCTCCTCGAGGAGGTCAGATGGGAGTTGCCACTGTTTGCCAGGCCTGAATCCAGGTACCCTTTGCATTTTATTTCCCTCTGTGGTTTATGAAGCACTTTAGAGATCTAATCTGCAGACAGCCCTGTTTTACAGGTGGGGAAACTGAGGCCTAGTGAAGTTAGTGATTTTTCCCGTGGAAGTCCGGGTAATAAAGTCTTCTGGAAGACAGGATGCTAGCATGTGTCGAGTGCCTGATGAGTGCCTAAATAAATGGAGATAAATGGAAAAGGGCCTCTGGTGTGAGTTCATGAAAATGAGTCTGTGAGTGGATTCAGGTTGGTTAAGGTAACTTACAGAGTGATGTGGGGAGTCCAAGTATGGCTTGCTAACATTGTGGTTTTGCTGTGTCTTGTCACTCCAAACAATAAAAAAGAGGAAGGTGTAAAAGTGCTTTGAAATGCACAAAAGTTGAGAACCTGCTGAGCAGAGTTCTTTCTGCTGCTGCTGGAGTCTGTGCGGATTGGAAGTTGAGGCCTCTGGTAGCTTAAATACCGTTTTGCTAACTCTCCTCTTTACCTCTCCCCTCCTTATTACAGACCACCCATCTTCTCTTCATCGTGGCTCCAGTTTCTCTGTTTATAAAAACATAATTGGGACACACGGGTTCACAATGGGATGGAATATTTGCATCCGGGGTAATTGGCTCTAATTGGTATTCCATGTCCAGTCCTCCTCTCCAGTCTTCTTTCTGAACCTACTTTGGTCTGCATCTCTCTTGGGACAACTGGATAATAATTATGTGAGTCTGGCTCACAGCCCCTGTGATTTAGAGGGGCGGCACCCACAGCAGGCTGGTGGGGAAGCGGTTTCTGGGGCCTTGCTTTTCTCCGGGCAGGCTGCCCACTTTCTTGAGCAGGCTTGCAGAGTTGGGGTCACCTTTCGCGTCATCGTCATTGGCATCGCGACTTGCTACTTGTCTCTCCTCTTTTGCCTGGGGTATTTCTTGGTTGTGCGGCATTGGGCCATGCTTGCTGGTGTACTGATCACGGGACGTGTTCGCGACTTGGGAGTGTGGACCCCAGACTGTTGGTGTTAGGCTTGGAACTCTCATTTCAGATTTGTTGGCGTCATCTCTGCGAGTGACTTCCCCCCGTCTAGCCTCCCAGTGAATTTTACTTGGAAACTGAATTTGGATTTGGAATGTGAATTTGGATTCTGTCTTTGTTCTTCTGTCTGTGAAATTACTCCTAGACACGTGTCCCATGTCAAATCTTACATCTTCAACTGTCTGTCACATGCCTTGAATGCCAGAGTACCTGCTGGACCTTCATGTGCATTCCACAGACACAAACAAAACAAAACATTATTTCCGAAACAGAACTTTAGGTCTCCCCCTCATTCCTGGAAAAAGTGACTAAAATGAAAACATTCTGGCCAGGCTCGGTGGTTCAGCCTGTAGTCCCAGCACTTTGGGAGGCCGAGGTGAGTGAATTGCCTGAGCCCGCGGGTTCGAGACCCACCCAGGCAACTTGGCGAGACCTCATCTCTACAGTAAATCAAAAAACTTAGTCAGGCATGGTAGTGCACACCTGTAGTTCCAGCTACTCGGAAGGCTGAGGCGGAAGGATCGCCGGAGCCCAGCAGGTCGAAGCTGCGGTGGCCGGGAGCGGCCACTGCACTCCAGTCTGGGTGACAGAGTGAGACTCCAACTTGAAAAAAAGAAAACACTCTTTCTCCTCTGCTCCTCACCATGGTGAATGACATTGTCGTTTCTCGTGATGTCCTGTTGGAAAAGTCGGTTATCCCAGCTGCTCCGTCTCTCTCCTCTCTCCCAGTCTCGTCAGGAAGGCCATTTTGCCCAATCGGCTGGCCCCAGCCCTCTGCCGCCTCTCACCTGGGCTGGGACGGGGGCGCTCTGGTCACTCTCCTGACAGTCTTCAGGCCAGGGCACCCTCCAGCCATGCACGTGTCACTATCCCGTGCGCTTGCGTGATGGCCCTACTTAGGAACGGGGTGATTCCCGAATGGCCCGCACGTCTGCTTCTTTAGCAGGTCTCTAAGGACCTTTGTCATCTGTGGCTCCAGTTCCTTTTCCAGCCTGGTCTCCTGGCCTCCCCATCGGGGGATCTCTCTTCCGCCGAGACCCAGCGTCCCCCACACCGGCACGTCTTGCTGCTCTATGTTTGTGCACCTTGTTTCTCCTGCCTTGGTGAGGCCCATTCAGCTTTCAAGGCTCCGTGCCTCACACAGCCTTTTCCAGAGTGTCTGGCTCCATTCACGTCACTACCGCAGCCCTCATGTGTTTCTGTAGTGCTTCTGTTGCCTCGTGTTTAGTGATCTGCGTGTGGTTTGGTAGCTGCCTCATGGGCCGGCACTCTCACTTTTCTATCTTCAGTGTCTAAGGCGGGATGCCCGCGTAGAGTTTATCCTGAATCTGGGGCATGGTAGATGCTTGCAAGCAGTCCTAGAGTGAAGTGACCGTAGAAAAAGACCTTTGGAGCCGGGCTTGGTGGCTCAGCCTGTAATCCCAGCACTTTGGGAGGCTGAGGTGAGTGGATTGCCTGAGCCCGCAGGTTCAAGACCCACCTGGGCAACTTGGCGAAACTTCATCTCTACAATAAATCAAAAAATCAGCCAGGTGTGGTAGCGCGCGCCTGTAGTTCCGGCTACTCAGAAGGCTGAGGCGGAAGGATCGCTGGAGCCCAGCAGGCGAGGCTGCGGTGGCCGGGAGCGGCCACTGCACTCCAGTCTGGGAGCCAGAGTGAGACTCCAACTCAAAAAAAAAGAAAAGAAAAGAAAAAGACCTTTGGATAGGTAAGGTTCCGTTCTAAGCAGTAAACAGGGCCTTTTCCTTGCTTTTTCCCTCTACCACTGCTGTCCTCGACAGAAACATGTAGAGTGGGAAGCCCATCTCCATGCCTGCTGTCACATACGAGCGCTGTCTCCACTGGTGGCGGGTGTGTCAGGATGTGAGGGGATCTGGGCGAATGGAGGCTCCTGGCTTGAACCTTTTAGGCTTAAGGAGAAACAGGCGTGGTGGCTGTGAGAGCCTAACTGGCGTCATGGGTGGATGGAGCTGCCCTGTGCTGTGCTGTTTTTCACATTGGTTTCTTTTAGAGCCAATGGGGACAGACTATTTTGACTTTTTCCATTTTGAGGCACAATATTGGGTGTTGTTTTCCTTAGAGTTGTATTTTCTAAATATTCAGGTATTATTACATTTCTTTGGTTCTGATATTTTACTGTGATTAAAAAAAAGTGATCTAGAAACAAAACTGGAGATTTTCAGAAGCTGCTGCCACGACCTAGCAGGAAGGACGTTCCGGGAGAGCAATGAGACTTGGGTTGGCCTGTCACTCACACTCCACATGTTGATGTCAGGGGATTGTCTCCAAGCCCGCGATTACTTGTGGCACAGTCACAGGGTTGCAGTGAGGATCAAGTGGGAATGCAGGGAAGAACTGCAGAAGCTGGCAGCAGTTAGCAGCCACAAGCCCCGAAGACAGCCTGAACATGAGAAGGACGTGCTGCGTCCAGACATCTTTCCCTTAATCAGCAGTTGTCTGTGAAGCGGTGTGTGTTGGATGTCAGGTAAGCACCTCTCGCCTCCTTTCCACTAGACCAGAGAGCTTTTGGTGTAGGGTGGAAGATCCATTAGAGAGATGTGTGCTTCTACAGATAATTGTTATGAACATAACAATATAGAAGACCCACCGCAATACAAGTGTATTCGCACTACTTTGCATAAGAATCATTACATACACACTGATACGAAGAATTGTTACGAGTGCTTCAGGAGTAGAGGGTGGTTTTATTGCTGTGAAGGGCCTTTGGCTTGAGTGGACACTTTCCCCAGTCCTGGAGCTGAGAGGCAGCGCAGTCAGCAGTCAGCAGTCGCAACTGGGCTGCGGATGTCACAGGCCACGCTTGGACCTGTCAGGTGCCTGCATCGTTGTCATCACCGGCTGTGTTGCGGGGCAGCTCCGTCACCTCCACGGGTGACCCAGAGGCCAAGCGTCCCTTGCTGACCTCCTCGGAACCTGTCCTCTGAGAGGCGTGAGCGGTAGGTGAGTGGAGGTGGCCCAGGCCCTTGCACAGGTGAGCAGAGCTCCCTCTGTGGGTCTTTGTTGCAGTAGGTCTGGTGTTGGGAGCAGTTGCTGCAGCCTGGTACCTCGTACTAGAGTCAACTTGATTTCTTTTAAAGCAGTTACTTAATACTTTTTCCTTGCAAGACTTCTGGGTGCTTACTTTCCTCATCTTGCCCATTTAGGACTGTAACCTGTAAGGTCTAGAGAATGTCTTGGTATGAATCTGACTAGTAAAGGTAGGGGAAGAAAGGAAATATTTGGTGTCAATTTCGAATGATCCTGGAATGGTTAGGGGAAGCTTTGCTGCAGTAACAAATAGGTCAGACCTGTGAAGACCTCACAGTAGAAGTGTGTGTCTCAGTCCTGTAACAGGCTAAGGGGCTTGTGGGAGTCTGTGTGTGCAGGTGCCTGTAGGAGCTGGGCGGACTCTCTTTAAAGCCCTACTTTGAGGACTCAGCTGCCTTCAAAGGCTGTCGGGCATGAGCTTCCCAGCTGGCGGAAGAGGAGAAGAGTGGAGGGCAGGCCTGAAGAGGTGTTGAAGAGTGCCGTTGGCTGGCACTCAGTCGTAGGTGACTTCCAGCCACACTCAGGACTGGAGGAGTGGCCTGGCCGAGTCTCGGGAGAAGAGGAGCAGCGGTCTTGCAACAAAGCGCTCAGCTCCCTTTCTGTGACTTGCAGTGTGAGTGATTTTTCCAATAAAGAAGACTTTAAAAACGAAGCCAGGCAGGTACTTCTCACTCCCCCAGTGTTTGAGTGTCTGTTATTTGCCAAGTGTCGTTCTAAGCACGTAAAGGGACCAGGTGACATGACGTGGTCCCTGCCTCTCGGTGCCCAGCAGTAGAGTTTAGGTAAGGACAGCAGTTCAGGGAAGACCACAAGAGTCTCATCTCCATCAGGGCAGCTGGCGAGGGAGGGAGTGGTCACCGTGGGCTAGGATGGAACAGCCCATCATCAGGGTGATTGCCGAAGGGCTTGGCGCCAGGTCACGCCACCGTGGAGTCAGCAAAGACCAGGAACCTGAAGTGCCAGTGGTCCGCTGAGCTGGGCTCAAAGCTGAGGGTTAGCAGAGACACAAGGGTCTACAGTGGGGCCTCTGGAGGGAGGGCAGAGAGGAGTCACACTGTCAAAAGCCATCACAGGAAAGGCGGTGTGGGAAGGGGCGGCTTGGGCCTGGGTGTCATCTGCTGGTTTTCATGCATTCTCAGTGTTTTACTGTCCAATGCTTGAGGGCTGCGACCCCTTTCTATTCGTTACTCCAGAAGAGAGTCACCAGGTGGGGTGCAGATGCCCAGTCTGAGATGGACGGGATCACTGAGCATCTCTGGGGCCTCGTACAGCCTGGGAAGACCCAGAAGTGACTCTGCTCTCTCCATTCATTCGCAAGGACCTAGGTGTGGACGCAGCCTCCCTTCAGCTCCATCTTCACCACATCACCCTTCCAGTCTTGCTCCTTAGAGAGTCACAAGCAGCTTCTAACAGCAAATGCCCTTGAGAGAAGCCTGGCCTGACTTGCTGTGTGAGGTTTGGGTGACTCAGGGAAGGAAGCGTGTGTGGAGAGGTGGCCTTTGAGCATCTTTGTCTTGATAAGATTGTATATGACTTGCCTTTTAAAAAGAAATGCTAATAAGAATAGACGGGTGATTAGAATTCCAGTGCAGTGTTTTTTGGTATTTTTTAACCATTTAGCAAGAGCATGAATGCTATTAGAATACAGCTGAGGTGCCTTTCCGGAGACATTCAGATTGGTGTGGTAGTCACACAGTCCTGACGTTTCTGTTGCCAGGTATTGACGGAGGAATAGAGGCATGGAGGAATAGAGATAAGTACTGTCACCCTCAACGTGAGTGTCACAAGTGCTGACATATGTACAGTCTCAGTCTGTAAATTCACTGCACAGGTTTTTATAATCCTCCTTTCTGTAGGTAAGGGA